TGTTTAATCCCACAATAAAAAAAAACGCAGCAACAGCAATAAAAGTTGCTGATGCCGCGTGCTTTTCTAACGCTTTTGCTATTCTTTAGAAAATAATTTAAAGAAATACTTCAACATGTTTTGCAGTCAACATTTTCTAGGAATAATTAACACAACTGGAAACCCAATGGGTTTTACAGTTAGGCCACAGTGTGCTAAGAAATAAATAAAGAAAGAAATTGTGGCAGACAGACTGTCTGTCCGTCCGTCTGTCTGCCCGTCTTTGACTAGACTAGCTAGATAACGTTTAAAGTTGAAAGTTGTAACGACATTTCTATAATTTTTAAATTGTTTTATGTTTTTTGTTTCTCTTTTAACAGAAGATTATTAAGTATTAATTAAATGCTTTTAGTGTGTTACCAATGCTGTATGTGTACACACTGACACAATAAATAGGAAATGAAATACAACTACAATCAGTATCAGCGACAGCGTTAGTTACGCACTTTAGTTAAGTCCGTTTGGTGCTGCAATCACTGCTAACAGTTCTAAACTAGTGGTCGCCAAGTTAAGAAGAGTATTGTTTGCACAGCATGTGTCATGTTGCGATACCGTTGCTTAATACTATTTACCACAAATCTTTAAACGTTGCTGCATTTTTGAGAATTTTCCATTTCCATTTATGTGTTGCATGACATTGCGTTGCATTAAAGTACACAACAGTGCGTTGCATTGGATTGCATTGCAACATACATTTGTACATTGGTTGGTCACTTGTTGTAACAGCAGCAAATACATATAATAAAGTTTAGATTTTTATTTGTTTCGATGAACTAACCTGCTGCTGTTGTTGTTGTTGTCATTGTTTTACCTTTTGAGGACTGCAATAATTCTATGATTGCAACTAGTTTAAAATAATTGTTAAAATACCAAATACCCGTTGCCTTCAGAGAATTGTTAAAGAATAAAACAGTGTTTGGAAATTGTGTCTAGAAAAAATGCCTAAAGTTTGAAACCTGCAGTGTTTATTGATTTTTAATATCATATACTTATACCGCTGTAGGTCGAATGATAGGGAGTTTTGATTAGACTGGACTATAGACTAAATAGTCTGTAGACTATAGACAATCTATAGATCAAACTAGTCTTAAGATAAGATTATAGACAAGTTTGTAGAATATATTATAGTCTAGATTATAGATAATAGACTTTTTCATGGATTAGACTTTAGACTTGGCAATTGATCCAACTTTAGATAGATTATATAGTCCAATCCATTAGTTGATAGATTTGACTGTAGTCAATGGATCAAACTATAGATTAAGATTAGTCTACTGGTCTGGTTTGTAGATCAGACTTTAAACTGAGTCAACAGGTCTCTCTAGTCTACATAGATTATATACATCAGACTATATATAAGTTGATAGGTTATAGACTAGTCGAGAGATCACTCTAAAGAGCAATTAATTAATAGATCAGACTAAAACTAGCTTATAGGCTGATCACTAGATTATATCAAATACTAGTCGATAGATCAGACCATAAAGTAGACTCCAAATCTGACTATAAACTAGTCTATATATCGGACTATTCCTAATCTATATATAAGACTACACTAGTCTATATATCAGACTATAAAATACTCTATAAAACAGACTTTAGACTAGGGAATAGATCGGACTATAGTCTAGGCTTTATGTCAGACTATAGACTAGGCTATATGTCAGCCTATAGGCTAGGCTGTATGTCAGACTAGTAGATAGATAAGACCTTGATCTGGTTAGTAGCTCAGTCTATAAGTCCGACTATAGACCAGTCTATTGGTCAGACTATAGACTCGACCATTGGTCAGACTATTGACCAATAAGTAAGATTATAGCCTAATCTGTAGGTCTAAAGGTTTAACTACAGATTATAATTAGTCTGTAGCTCAGACTCAGTCTATTATACTACAACATAGAGTATATATTAGTCTATAGCTGAGACTAGCTTATATAGTAGACTAGTCTATAGCATGGACTATAGACTCATCTGTAGCTTAGAATATAGACTGGTGTATAGCTTAGATAAAAGATGTAGCTTAGACTATAGTCTATTTATTATACATTATGAATTGGAACTGCTGTAGTGCAGGGTTAGTTTTTGATATCTATACTTTCTTTCCTTGTTTCTATTGATTTCGTCTTTCTTTTTTTGCCTTTCAACAAGTAACTTGTATATTTTTATTTTTCTCTAACTATAACATAATTTTTTAACATAATCAACTATAAAAGTGTGTGGTGTTTCTTTAGTTTTGCGCAATATTCTCCAAAGACTAAGAAAACAACAATAAGAATGGAACACTTTTGGAATTAAACAATCAGTGTATAATCTTTGCAAAAAAATTGTATTCTGATGAATTCAGAAAAATACACCACAGGGATTGATGAACAAAATTAGAATTGCAAATATTTGAAACGATTCATAGAAGGAGTTTAAAGAAACAGCATAAAGTTAAGATATTTTTTTACGCATACGAAGAACCTTAGTGAAATCGGCAAACTTTGTAAAATGGAATAAATTTTCTTAAAGTTATACTAGTAGTCCACTGTTGTAGTCGGTGGTATATGAATCTTATTACTACAAAAAGTGGGTTAAGGTTATTAACCTAAGAAGGCTATTTATATAAAGTATGTGGTTTGTTCAAAGAATCTTCTGACTTTATTGTTTAAACCACAAATGTGTGTTAAATCCCTAAAGGTGAAAAATTAACATCTTAGTATAGAAGTAGGTGGCATGCAGATGGAAGGTGGATATGAAATAACTATAAATTTTGCACCGGTTTACATTACAGGTTTAAAATTAAGGTAATTTCCGCTCTAAAATAGCAATAAGCGATCTCTTGCACTCTTGCCATCCAAATCAGGTATGGAGAATTGAAGTTTTGAAATATATAGTACTTTTTAGGTTTTATAGTACTAGAGTAGAATATAGACTAGACTATAGACTAGACTATAGACTAGACTATAGACTAGACTATAGACTAGACTATAGACTAGACTATAGACTAGACTATAGACTAGACTATAGACTAGACTATAGACTAGACTATAGACTAGATTATAGACTAGACTATAGACTAGACTATAGACTAGACTATAGACTAGACTATAGACTAGACTATAGACTAGACTATAGACTAGACTATAGACTAGACTATAGACTAGACTATAGACTAGACTAGACTATAGACTAGACTAGACTATAGACTAGACTAGACTATAGACTAGACTAGACTATAGACTAGACTATAGTCTAGACTATAGACTAGACTATAGACTAGACTATAGACTAGACTATAGACTAGACTATAGTCTAGACTATAGACTAGACTAGACTAGACTAGACTATAGACTAGACTAGACTATAGACTAGACTATAGACTAGACTATAGACTAGACTATAGACTAGACTATAGACTAGACTATAGACTAGACTATAGACTAGACTATAGACTAGACTATAGACTAGACTATAGACTAGACTATAGACTAGACTATAGACTAGACTATAGACTAGACTATAGGACTAGACTATAGACTAGACTATAGACTAGACTATAGACTAGACTATAGACTAGACTATAGACTAGACTATAGACTAGACTATAGACTAGACTCATAGACTAGACTATAGACTAGACTATAGACTAGACTATAGACTAGACTATAGACTAGACTATAGACTAGACTATAGACTAGACTATAGACTAGACTATAGACTAGACTATAGACTAGACTATAGACTAGACTATAGACTAGACTATAGACTAGACTATAGACTAGACTATAGACTAGACTATAGACTAGACTATAGACTAGACTATAGACTAGACTATAGACTAGACTATAGACTAGACTATAGACTAGACTTAGACTAGACTAGACTAGACTATAGACTAGACTATAGACTAGACTATAGACTAGACTATAGACTAGACTATAGACTAGACTATAGACTAGACTATAGACTAGACTATAGACTAGACTATAGACTAGACTATATACTAGACTATAGACTAGACTATACTAGACTATTGACTAGACTATAGGACTAGACTATAGACTAGACTATAGACTAGACTATAGACTAGACTATAGACTAGACTATAGACTAGACTATAGACTAGTCTATAGACTAGGCAGTAGTGGGCGACAAGTGAGATAGTTTTAAGAGTAATTTGAGCCTAAAAAGCCTATAAAGTGTGGAAAATTAGATCAAATCATATTAAACGGGTGAAAAATTAGCTCTCGGAGTGTTTGTTTTCGACTGTTGTCTATAAATGCCTCTGATCCTAAGATTAATTGACTTTGGGCGTAAGATCTTCTAGTTTAGATGAAAAATTAAGTTTTTAGTTTTTTAAACTTTTTTAATGAAAAAAAAAATTATAGCAGATTTTGAAATTTTGTTTAAGAAACAAAATTCAAATTTTGCCACCATATTCGCATACACTGTATATTACTCATAATTTATTAATAAGTGATATTTTATTATTAATTAAAACAAAAAGCTAACACCATTTAAGCTTAAACTTTCCAGTAGCAAAATTGTATAATAAAATTTAAACATTTAATAAACAAAACAAAGTAATTTTTTAACATTTCTAGTTCTGTATTAAGCCGGTTTGTAAATGAATATTGTATATTTTTTAATTAAAATTATTTAATATCAAACTTTTTTTTTCACACATACTAGTTGTGTTAAAAATTATTGTTGAATAATTTTAAATAATAAGTGAAACCACTTTTTGATTAAAATAATTTTTGTTTGTTTAGTTTAAACAAATTATGACGTAAATAAAGCAAACATTTGGTTTTTATGGAAGTACGAACAGGATTTTCGCGATATCAAAATATAAACTGTGTGCGAAATATTTTTCACACGCGTCTAAATATAATATCGTGCCAGCAGTAACAAGATTTTTTAATTTAAATAAGATCAACCATATGTTAAGATATGATTTCAGTTTAGTCTAGAATAAATTTCCTTCACTGCATTTTTGCAAACGTATTTTATTTTATCTCAAAGTATAAACTTTGTTATATAATTAGAATTAATGGCCTTCTGCAACATTTTGGATAGGGGGCTGAAGGATTACTAGGTCCGCCCATTATATATCCCGGTGGCGGCTGCATCGATCCACAACTACATGATAAAAATAATAACTTATTATATCAAAAATTAGCATATCATAACTATATCCAACTTACCTACTAAATGTGACTATGCCATTGTCATGGCAAATCATTTTTGCGCATCCAGAAGGATATTTAGCTGTTTCACCAGGCGATAATATTAAACCTTCCACCACACACTTTCCTGGATGATCTTAATGTTATACATTTAATGTTTTTCTACTATAGTTAATTTGCAAATATATAGAAATATTTTAAAAATTTACCTGAATTATTGTAAAAACCGATTGCCACCGCTGCCCGATTTGCTACCACTAGAACGCAAATTATATTTATGAAAAGTAGAAATTTCATTGTTGTTTTAGTATTGAGTTGTTCAACGAAACTGATTTGATGTCTCATGTAAGATTAAGTTTGTGGTTTTGTAGCAAGTGATTAAATTTTAATTGATAATAGGTCATATACATATGCAAACAAACATACGTATGCACAGTGGTTCAACGATTTTTGAGAACTAAAAATCTAATGTAATAATGAAACATTATCTAAGTTGTCATCCATGATAAGAGAGAGTAACTTAAATATTTTTAAGCTTAAGTACATGTGCATGCAAAAAAAAAAATGAAAGCTCAAGTAAGAGCTTTTTGCCTATAACTGCATTAGATTCCACAAATATTATATGAACTAAAAAATCATCTATAGTTTAAACTACAGCTCAGTCTAAAATCTTGACTATAGAATAGTGTATAGTTTTGACTATAGACCAGTCTACAGTCTTGACTATAGACCAGTCTACAGTCTTGACTATAGACCAGTCTATAGTCTTGACTATTGAACAGTCAATAGTTTTGACTATAGAACAGTCTATAGTTTTGACTATATAACAGTTTATAGTCTTGACTACAGAACAGTCTTGACTATAGATATAGTTTTGACTATAAAACAGTCTATAGTATTGACTATAGAACAGTCTATAGTCTTGACTATAGAATAGTCTATAGTCTTGACTATAGAACAGTCTATAGTCTTGACTATAGAACAGTCTATAGTCTTGACTATAGAACAGTCTATAGTCTTGACTATCGAACAGTCTATAGTCTTGACTATAGAACAGTCTATAGTCTTGACTATAGAACAGTCTATAGTCTTGACTATAGAACAGTCTATAGTCTTGACTATAGAACAGTCTATAGTCTTGACTATAGAACAGTCTATAGTCTTGACTATAGAACAGTCTATAGTCTTGACTATAGAACAGTCTATAGTCTTGACTATAGAACAGGTCTATAGTCTTGACTATAGAACAGTCTATAGTCTTGACTATAGAACAGTCTATAGTCTTGACTATAGAACAAGTCCTATAGTCTTGACTATAGAACAGTCTATAGTCTTGACTATAGAACAGTCTATAGTCTTGACTATAGAACATTCTGTAGTCTTGACTATAGAGCATTATATAGTTTTAACTATAGACATTATATAGTCTAGACTATAGAATAGTCTATAGCCTTGACTATAGATCAGTCTATAGTCTTGACTATAGAACATTCTGTAGTCTTGACTATAGAGCATTATATAGTTTTAACTATAGAACATTATATAGTCTAGACTATAGAATAGTCTAGAGTCTAGACTATAGAATAGTCTATAGTCTTGACTATAGAATAGTCTATAGTCTTGACTATAGAATAGTCTATAGTCTTGACTATAGAATAGTCTATAGTCTTGACTATAGAATAGTCTATAGTCTTGACTATAGAACAGTCTATAGTCTTGACTATAGAACATTCTGTAGTCTTGACTATAGAGCATTATATAGTTTTAACTATAGAACATTATATAGTCTAGACTATAGAACAGTCTATAGTCTTGACTATAGAACAGTCTATAGTCTTGACTATAGAACAGTCTATAGTCTTGACTATAGAACATTCTGTAGTCTTGACTATAGAGCATTATATTGTTTTAACTATAGAACATTATATAGTCTAGACTATAGAATAGTCTATAGTCTAGACTATAGAATAGTCTATAGTCTTGACTATAGAATAGTCTATAGTCTTGACTATAGAGCATTATATAGTTTTAACTATAGAACATTATATAGTCTAGACTATAGAACAGTCTATAGTCTTGACTATAGAACAGTCTATAGTCTTGACTATAGAACAGTCTATAGTCTTGACTATAGAACAGTCTATAGTCTTGACTATAGAACATTCTGTAGTCTTGACTATAGACCATTATATAGTTTTAACTATAGAACATTATATAGTCTAGACTATAGAATAGTCTATAGTCTTGACTATAGAACAGTCTATAGTCTTGACTATAGAACATTCTGTAGTCTTGACTATAGAGCATTATATAGTTTTAACTATAGAACATTATATAGTCTAGACTATGGAATAGTCTATAGTCTTGACTATAGAACAGTCTATAGTCTTGCCTATAGAACAGTCTATAGTCTTGACTATAGAACATTCTGTAGTCTTGACTATAGAGCATTATATAGTTTTAACTATAGAACATTTTATAGTCTAGACTCTAGACTATAGAACAGTCTATAGTCTTGACTATAGAACAGTTTATAGTCTTGACTATAGAACAGTTTATAGTCTTGACTATAGAACAGTCTATACTCTTGACTAAAGAACAGTCTATATAGTCTTGACTATAGAACAGTCTATATAGTCTTCACTATAGAACAGTCTATATAGTCTTGACTATAGAACAGTCTATAGTCTTGACTATAGAACATTCTGTAGTCTTGACTATAAAGCATTATATAGTTTTAACTATGGAACATTATATAGTCTAGACTATAGAATAGTCTATAGTCTTGACTATAGAACAGTCTATAGTCTTGACTATAGAACAGTCTATAGTCTTGACTATAGAACAGTCTATAGTCTTGACTATAGAACAGTTTATAGTCTTGACTATAGGATAGTCTATAGTCTTGACTATAGAACAGTATATAGTCTTTACTATAGAACAGTCTATAGTTTGTCAATAGTTAGACTAGTCTATAGCCTTGATTATAGATTGATCTATAGTCTTGACTATAGACCATTTTATGATATTGATTATAGGCTTGTCTATAGTATTGACTATAGATGAGACTATAGTCTTGACTATACCCCTGTCTATAATATGGACCTTAAAAAAAAAAAAATTTTTATCAAAAATATTAATAGAAAATAAAATTTTTACTTGATTTTTTTATTTCTCAAATTTTTTTCTAAATTCTTGTTGTAAATGTTTAGTTTAAATTTGTTATTAATTTAAGAACTTTCAGTTTTTTGCGCTGCTACAATTTTCCTCGCACAACATTTCGGATAAACGGAATCAGGTAAAATAGGGTCTCCTAAAACAAAGCCTGGGGGTACACCAATAACACCACAGCTATAACGATTTATTATAAAATGAATATAAAATTAATTTTATTTAAAAAATTTCATTGAATCTTTTAAGAATTTTCAAATTTACCTAAAAAATGTAGCATAACTTTCCTCATGACACACCACCTGTTCACATCGGCCCGGTATAGAGGCCTGTTCGCCAGCTGCTAAAATAATATCTCCCGTAACACATTTACCAGGATGATCTGTAATAGAAATATGTAAATTAATTCAGGTGTAAACAATTCAAATTTAATTCGAATAATTACTGGGATCTTTTTGAAGACCCCATGAGACCGCTGCTAAACAGTTCGTTAAAATTGCAGCAATTAAATTTATTATGAGAAACAATTTCATATTGTTGCCTTAAGCTGGCAATGTAAACTAAAAATTAATAACATTTCGTATGACTTTTATATTTATATGGAACCAATAGCTTTGTTTAACAAAGCCCCTTAAGCGGAGGCATAGTATTTAAAATTTTTGTAAAAAAGTAAAATGTATGTGCTTTTTTTGAAATATTTTGCTAATGAAAAGACACGTGTTTATATTGCAACAACGTTTTGTATAATAGAGTCAACAAATACTATGCATTTCATTTCGTACTATTTTTAGAACCCAAGACATTTTATTATATGACCACGTTCGATCAGTTGATGCCCTATGCGGGAACTCATTGCTTGTGATCTTAATATACTAACGTTTAAACTAGTCTGGTATAATCTTTAAAGAATTTATTATAGTGACTAATGATTAAACCTTATCAGAAGTTAGATCTTGTTTTTGTTGAAGATTCATGACAGTTTTAGGGTTAAAACCAAATTAGATCATACCAACGTATTTTCAAATGAAAATGAAACTATAAATTATGCTAATTTCTAATCTTGCTTTTTCCCCATTTATTTATAATTAATGTTTAAAATTTAAAAGCTATTAAAATGTTTTTTTTTTGTAGAACTTTTACTTAAAAACACAATATTATGAAAAAAAAGAAAACTTTTAAATAATAAATTAAATACAAAAATAAACTTAGACATGAAACTAATTAGACCATTACAATGACTTGGTTTAATGAATAATTTTTTTTGTAAATGTAAATTAAAGCTAGAAATACAAGTGCATATAAATGGTTAATTAAATAAATACAAATTATACAAATCAGGCATGGAAAATTCAGTACCTTCTCTAGAATATATATAGTCTCGAGTTTAGTCTATAGTCTAGTCTAGTCTATAGTCTAGTCTATAGTCTAGTCTATAGTCTATTCTATAGTCTAGTCTATAGTCTAGTCTAGAGTCTAGTTATAGTCTATATTCTAGGTCTATAGCCTAGTCTGTAGTCTAGTCTATAGTCTAGTCTATAGTCTAGTCTATAGACTAGTCTATAGTCTAGTCTATAGTCTAGTCTATAGTCTAGTATAGTCTATATTCTAGCTATAGCCTAGTCTATAGTCTAGTCTATAGTCTAGTCTATAGTCTAGTCTATAGACTAGTCTATAGTCTAGTCCTAGACTAGTCTATAGTCTAGTCTATAGTCTAGTCTATAGTCTAGTCTATAGTCTAGTCGCCTAGTCTAGTCTATAGTCTAGTCTATAGTCTAGTCTATAGTGCTAGTCTAGCTATAGTCTAGTCTATAGTCTAGTCTATAGTCTAGTCTATAGTCTCTAGTCTATAGTCTAGTCTATAGTCTAGTCTATAGTCTAGTTAGTCTAGTCTATAGTATAGTCTATAGTCTAGTCTCTAGCAGTCTAGTCTATAGTCTAGTCTATAGTCTAGTCTATAGTCTAGTCTATAGTCTAGTCTATAGTCTAGTCTATAGTCTAGTCTATAGTCTAGTCTATAGTCTAGTCTATAGTCTAGTCTATAGTCTAGTCTATAGTCTAGTCTATAGTCTAGTCTATAGTCTAGTCTATAGTCTAGTCTATAGTCTAGTCTATAGTCTAGTCTATAGTCTAGTCTATAGTCTAGTCTATAGTCTAGTCTATAGTCTAGTCTATAGTCTAGTCTATAGTCTAGTCTATAGTCTAGTCTATAGTCTAGTCTATAGTCTAGTCTATAGTCTAGTCTATAGTCTAGTCTATAGTCTAGTCTATAGTCTAGTCTATAGTCTAGTCTATAGTCTAGTCTATAGTCTAGTCTATAGTCTAGTCTATAGTCTAGTCTATAGTCTAGTCTATAGTCTAGTCTATAGTCTAGTCTATAGTCTAGTCTATAGTCTAGTCTATAGTCTAGTCTATAGTCTAGTCTATAGTCTAGTCTATAGTCTAGTCTATAGTCTAGTCTATAGTCTAGTCTATAGTCTAGTCTATAGTCTAGTCTATAGTCTAGTCTATAGTCTAGTCTATAGTCTAGTCTATAGTCTAGTCTATAGTCTAGTCTATAGTCTAGTCTATAGTCTAGTCTATAGTCTAGTCTATAGTCTAGTCTATAGTCTAGTCTATAGTCTAGTCTATAGTCTAGTCTATAGTCTAGTCTATAGTCTAGTCTATAGTCTAGTCTATAGTCTAGTCTATAGTCTAGTCTATAGTCTAGTCTATAGTCTAGTCTATAGTCTAGTCTATAGTCTAGTCTATAGTCTAGTCTATAGTCTAGTCTATAGTCTAGTCTATAGTCTAGTCTATAGTCTAGTCTATAGTCTAGTCTATAGTCTAGTCTATAGTCTAGTCTATAGTCTAGCCTATAGTCTAGTCTACAGTCTAGTCTATAGTCTAGTCTATAGTCTAGTCTATAGTCTAGTCTATAGTCTAGTCTATAGTCTAGTCTATAGTCTAGTCTATAGTCTAGTCTAGTCTATCTATAGTCTAGTCTATAGTCTAGTCTATAGTCTAGTCTATAGTCTAGTCTATAGTCTAGTCTATAGTCTAGTCTATAGTCTAGTCTATAGTCTAGTCTATAGTCTAGTCTATAGTCTAGTCTATAGTCTAGTCTATAGTCTAGTCTATAGTCTAGTCTATAGTCTAGTCTATAGTCTAGTCTATAGTCTAGTCTATAGTCTAGTCTATAGTCTAGTCTATAGTCTAGTCTATAGTCTAGTCTATAGTCTAGTCTATAGTCTAGTCTATAGTCTAGTCTATAGTCTAGTCTATAGTCTAGTCTATAGTCTAGTCTATAGTCTAGTCTATAGTCTAGTCTATAGTCTAGTCTATAGTCTAGGTCTATAGTCTGGTCTATAGTCTGGTCTATAGTCTGGTCTATAGTCTGGTCTATAGTCTGGTCTATAGTCTAGTCTGGTCTATAGTCTGGTCTATAGTCTGGTCTATAGTCTGGTCTATAGTCTGGTCTATAGTCTGGTCTATAGTCTGGTCTATAGTCTGGTCTATAGTCTGGTCTATAGTCTGGTCTATAGTCTGGTCTATAGTCTGGTCTATACTCTGGTCTATACTCTGGTCTATACTCTGGTCTATAGTCTGGTCTATAATCTAGTCTATTGTCTAGTTTATAGTCTAGTCTATAATCTAGCGGAAAATTAGTTTAGTACTTTAAGCTCTAAAAAGTACTATTGTTACAAAATTGTTTAACTATTTCAAAATCTAAATTTTCCATGCCTGATACAAGTAATGTTAAAGTTATAAAAGAGAATAGAAAAATTTAGGAAATCAAAACATTGAGAGCAAAGCAACAAAAACGTTTGCGGTATTAATAAACAGATGATTTTCAACCAGATTATGACCCTAAATATTCGATTTCTATAAGTATCCTGAATATACATGAAAGTTTATCTAAGATTATAAAAACAATATGTATATCGTTTTATTATTTTAAACATTATTTTTCTGGGTTTTTAGGCCTCCTATTAATAAGCTAATATCTAACTTTACTACTTTATAACTATGTTTCTCTATCAATCATAATTTCTGTCTTTTTAAATTAACGGAAATTTGAAAATATTCTGCTTATTAAAAATCAATCATGAGTTTCAGTTTGAAGCTACTTTTCTACAATAATTTAATATTAAACTAGTATTAATTTCAAAGCTAGTATGATACTCTAGGCTTGCAAATCCGATCATCTTATACCCTATATTTCTTACAAGATTTTAAGAAGGAATTGGAACCAATTATAGAGAAATTATATGTTTAATGTTGAATATTTTTAAATACAAATCTTAAATGGACAGATAAATATGAAGTCGTTTAGGGGAACGGAGTTTTAACGTCTACAAACCTCTACCATTCTCCCTATTCTTTTGTAGGGTAAATAAATACTAACAACAAACCAAGTAATTTGTCTAATATCTAAATTCTTGCTTAACTACTTAAAATGTCTAATAATGGCAATAATTTCAGTTACCGTTCAGTTAACGTTAAGCATGTCTGTCTATCCTTGGTCCATAAGGAAATTGTTGTTCAGTTTTTATGCAACATTTTGTTATTGTATTCATTCATTTCTTAAACAACATTTATTTGTTGTTTGTTTTTGCTAACACGGGTGCGTAATTTATGAAAACATCTACAACTACTTTTCATACAAGTTTTTAATTTTGTATACCAAACAAAACTCAAAAAAAAGAAAGAAGAACGAACAGAAGCTTAAATAACAGCAATATTCTTAAGATCATCATTACAATGAATAGAAAAATCAACACTAGCAGAGGCAGCTGGCTGACTGGCTGGAATAGTTGCTTGTTGCACGATAAGAAATAACAAGAAATTGTCGCACCTGTATGTTTGTTCTTTGCTGACTTTTCGCTATTTCTGCTAATAAACCGCACACTTTTCTTAAACTTAAACAAAATATTGCTTAGAAAATGAATAGCAGTTATGGAATAACAAAAACCGAATACAAATAATATAAAAATTTAAATTCAAGATGTTTTTCGCATGTTACTTCCAGTTTAGTTTAAACATTTTTTTATTAAAAAGATACTTTTATTCCTTGTTCTCTCGTATAATATTGTCTAACACTATTTACGGTTAGTTAACGGAAGAGTTTTTGCTTTTTTTCTAACGTGTGGCTCCAAATAAAATATGAATGTAAAAAGGGAGTGCACAACTAAAAATTTATAACTTGTTAGCCATAGAATACACTATAGACTAGACTATAGACTAGACTATAGACTAGACTATAGACTAGATTATAGACTAGACTATAGACTAGACTATAGACTAGACTATAGACTAGACTATAGACTAGACTATAGACTAGACTATAGACTAGACTATAGACTAGACTATAGACTAGACTATAGACTAGACTATAGACTAGACTATAGACTAGACTATAGACTAGACTATAGACTAGACTATAGACTAGACTATAGACTAGACTATAGACTAGACTATAGACTAGACTATAGACTAGACTATAGACTAGACTATAGACTAGACTATAGACTAGACTATAGACTAGACTATAGACTAGACTATAGACTAGACTA